CTGGCTTCAAAATTTTATCTACAGCTGCCTTTGCTGGCTGCATAGTGAAAATCAGATGGCCTGTTGGGATGGATTAGCAACAAGGAGCTCTGGGGACGAACCAATCATTAACCTACTGCTCAACAAATATACTGAAGAAAATGGAGGTGGATCGGGCTCACATTGAGGAGACTGCTGAGTGACATCACGCTCTAGGCATATCCTCGAGTGATACCAGAATGAGAGACGACGATTGCGGTGTGAGTTTGAGGGTGACATGGAGGGTATCGTGTTAGCAGGAGATCAGAGAATATGGGCAGTAATGAGGCCATTTAACGAGGATTATAGGAAATAGTACAAAGTGAAGACGTGCTACTGAAACCCTATCATCCACTCGGAACCCAAAGGAACACTGATAATAATAGAGTATTAGGTCATTAAGGTGTGCAAGCCCATCCCCCACGTCAAGGTAGTAACTACTGGTTGAGAATGGATAATATTTCACAACCAAACCTACAGAGAATCAGCTGTGGCTGGAGTAGCTCAAGGGCAATGTCTCTGACATCCTTCATTGAGTGAAACATGTTGGAATCATAGGGTTTTCTCAAATACATGGATAAGCTTCTTCCAATACGTGACAATTAATTATGATAGTGAACAATTTTAATTATTAATTACAATGAAACTGGCAGTTTTTGTTCACTACAGTTGACCGCTTTCAATCACTTGGATGATTGGAGAATACAAACAGGAGAAAGTCAAAACCACAGCATATACACAAGCCGAAAAGCGCTGCACTGTGATAATTATTTTTAGATCCAAACCCCTAGTCTATACAGAACACGTGCTGGAAAAATACATAAAAGATCGATTGATATTCAAATTACCAGGGTGGATAGATTGACACAGGTAAATAAATGCACAACTTACTTTAACTGTAATTCTCAAGTGAGTGTCACATCGGGATATATAGATAACTACTCCTACACAATAGTAAAACATGTGTTAGTTCCATTTTATTTGCTTATTAAATCTAACATATCAATATGGTTAAACTTTAAGTATGCTCATCTTACTTCTCACTAAGCACAACTAATCGATTGCTAAGATAAGAAAAATAAGTCTATTCATATTTGCACACATTGTGTTGCCTATGAAACGACTGAAACAATATCAAGTAAACCATATCCACGCAAGAGAAAATATTTCAAAAGCTGTACAACTCAAATCACAACTGTATTGAATATTAGCAACCAACTATCTTGAAGTATTGACAAACTTAGTGACAAATCAATTACAGCAACTGAAGGTAAATTATCTTTGCTTTCCTTTTATCCCAGCTTCGAAGTTCCGGGACGGGGTTGCTAGCCTCCCACCCAACCTTACCTCTTTTCCTGTTTAGGAGTGCGTCGGCCGGAGATCGAACCCTGAACCATATGCGTGGTTGGCCAGCATTCTACGGCTGAACCACCGACACACATCTCTGCTCTACCATACACAATTTATACTCCATTTCATAGGTTGTAGACAAGAACAAACATAGAACATTGATCCCATATCCTAAATTTCAATTTTTTAAACCACTAGGCTACCTGAATTTCCATCCAAAATAATGCTTTACATTTTCTCTAATTCTTATTGTTTTAATCATTCAAATATGTCCTCGAGTCATAAAATATACTCACGCACATTCTCTAATTGGCTTCCAGTCTACAGGTGCACATTTCTCGGAGAAGAAGGGGAAAATATCCTAAGGGATTAATTAGTCTATGCTTTCAGATTGAAGAGCATTGCGTCACATGATATACCATAGATTGCAATTTCAACTGAAAATTCTGTATGAAGAGAAAATATTATTCAATCAGTTACGCTTAGAATTCTGCAAAATGTAATATTTTGTCCAGAATAGTTTATATTATCACTGTATTATAAAAACCATGGTAGACAATATTTGGTAATTAACATTAGTGAAGGCGACAGTTTGACATTCATTACAACTTGATTAAATATATTACATCACCCATCCAGCTAGCTTCCATATAAAACTAGTAAACATTTCGGAACTAAACATACATCTACTAGTCGCTTTTATTTCTAAGTTACGTCCCACTACGCTATCACAACAGACCAATCGAATAGACAGATTGATCAAACTTTTAAAACAACCTGGATCCTGTTTACATTAGAATGGAACCAACTAAAACTTACGATCTAACAATCAACTACTCTATACGATACTCAAGTACTGTTTCGTAGGGATTTGATTGATTGGTTACAGGATTTCATCGTGAGCTGACATCGGTTAGAGAACCTTTGGAAAACCTGGGAGTACTGAACAGCTACCTCGTCCTAGTTTGGGACTCTGCCTCAGCAGTACACACTCACCGCTAGGATTCAAACGCAGGACCTTCAGGTTACAAAGCGAGCAAGCTCATAGACCATTCAGACACTGGAACCCGATCCAATGACCAGTCCATGAATTCCAACTTCTGACAATTCACGACATAGCGCAACTACTAGCCAATGTCTTCGACGAGTATTTGTCCTCACACCTGACTTGCCGTACTCTACTCGTCACAACTTCTCACTAGAACTCCAAGTAACTACCTACCGATGTCAGTTCATATTGAAATCCTGTAACCAATCAATCAAATCCCTACAAACCAGCACTTGAATATCAATGAGATGCTCACTAGTGACTGACCCTATCCAGGTAGCTAGTTACCTGGGATTCTACTGGGAAGTCGTGACCAGTAGGGTGAAGCAGGTCGGGTGTGAGGACGAATGCCCGCTGAAGACATTGGCTAGTAGTTGCGCAATATTGTGAATTGGCAGAAGTTGGAATTCATTGACTAGCCATTGGATCGGGCCGCAGTGGCTTCATACTCTATACGAGATGACTAATTATCAGAATTCAAATACAATCCAACTGAAAAGATCTAGTAATACTTAGGTCTCATAGTCTAATTATTGTACCAGAAGCCCAGATTTTAATGTTTACAAACAGTCTGGACATCTAACTGGTGCCTGTTGTGTGCTTCAAAACCTATTTTTAACTGGTAGAACAGGTGTTCAAATTAACTCAGTGCAGTAAATATTTGGATTCAAGGAAGAATACACAACACAGTAGTGTATAAAGCATATAGACTTTAATGTGATCAGATAGTTAAACTAGTTGTTCCTTTTCGAGTAAATAACATTTTATTACCCTCCCCCCACCCAACTCTAGTTAGAATCCATACACATGACAAGGATAAAAACATATTTCGACAGCACCAAAAGATCATTAAATTCTTGTCTTGTGACTATTTATTCTGTATTATTCTTTCAGTATTACCGAATAAATAACAAAGTTTCTCTTATAATCTTCATCTCTAGCGTAGATGTGATATCCGACCGGCTGTCGACCAAAGAACGTGTGTACTGCTCAGCAGTTCGCTCTGTCCTCCTCCATGTCTGGGAGACATGGCCATTGAAATTGGAAGACATGAAAACGCTGTCTTTAATTGTAAACGTGTCTGCGTCCTATCTTCCGTGTTAAGTGATATAACATAATAAGTAATATTGAGGTTAGGTGTAGATGTTAGGTTAAGGAGGGTAAGTCAATCGACGAGGCTGTGAAGTTAGATCGATTTAAACAGATGGTTAGGACATGTGTTACGCATGCCTAGCCATCGTCTTCTTAGACGGACAATGTTAGCTGACATAGAATTAGATTGGAAAAGAGTTATTGATGGTCAAAACGAAACTTGGCATCACTGAGTGAAATCTTTGATAGTTACTTTGAGCCACATAGAGAGGTGTTGAAATTTTAAGAACTGATGACTGGATATAACCGGAGACATGGCTCAATGGCACAGATGCATTCACTCTTTATGACCGCCCATATTCATTAAACCCTCACGTTTCTCCATGTTACTATTCTTTTTCTCTCATATTTCTGCTTATCATTGTACTTTTGAATCCCATTTTTTCTCTCTCTCTTTTGTCTTTCTTTATGTGCACCCACCAGACCAAAGGGAGGGTGTACTGCTCAGCAGTTCGCTCCGTCCTCCTTTATGGTTGTGAGACCTGGCCATTGAGAGTGGAAGACATGAAAAGACTAGCTGTCTTTGATCATAGGTGCCTGCGTTTTATCTCCCGTGTTACGTGGTATAATAGGGTGAGCAATATTGAGGTTAGGCTTCGGTCGAGTGCTAGGTAGTTGGGAGGGGAAATCAATCGACGAGGCTGTGAAGCAGTTACATTGACTGAGATGGTTAGGAAATGTGTTACGCACGTCTAGTCTAGCCACCGCCTTCCTCGACCGACGGTCAATGTTAGCTGACATAATATGGATCAGGTTGGAAAAGAGCTAGTGGTAGTCAAACCAAAACATGAAATCAGTCAATGAAATCCACAACAGTTGGTTTAAGCCAGCCACGTAGGAAGATGCAGACTTCCTGGTTGGGGTCCTCGGGAGGGTAAAAACCTAATGACTGGAGACAATCGGCGATATCGCTCAAAATCGTTCTCAATGGCGCAGATGCATCCACTCCTTGTGACTTATAATACCCAATGAAACTATATTGCCCTTCGTTATTACTATTCCTTTTGCCTCATATCCCTGTCTACTGTCTCTATTTTGCATTTCTTCTACTTTCTTCTCTTGCTTTGTGTGCTACGTGGAGTGTGGCGACTTGAACTGCTGCACATCGGTGCAAGGTTCTATGTTGAAACTCAATCAATCAGGCAGTGAGTCAGTCAGTCAGTTCTCTTCGTCTTTATTAAACACCTGACACATAACATACAAAAGAAAGTGTATACCATACAAACTAATCATTATTATTAGTAGTATTATTCAACAGATGACAAAGTTATCTGAAGAAGAAGAAGAAAAATAACATTTTTTTAAAAAAAAAGGTGGGATGACGAGAAGATGGGGAGAAGAGAAGAAAATACAACAGTTTAAGGCACATTATGACATCACATTTCTCTGCGATGAACAGAATATTATTGTTGAGTATTTTTTCCCTAGAACAAATAATAATAATAATGATAATCATAGTCATAATTATAACAGTACTCAACATGGAGATAAGGAAAACCGTAAAACACTAGGTCAAGAATACTTATCATGTATATAACAATGAATATTATACTACAATCACAGACGCTTGTAAAGTAAATTTTACAAAATAAACTTATCACAAAAAAAGAAGAAAAAAGACAGATGATAAGTAAATAAATAAATAAAACAAACAAACAACTGGAGTTAAATGTGATTACAGAAAAATAATATTTCTTTTCTTTTATCATCTTTCTGTTGAATTCAATTCAATCAATGTTTAACTTCACAGAATACTACTCACTACACTCAATTGACGTGGTCAGTATTCATCTCATTTGGATTGACAAGGAATTAGAAGACATGCAAGGAAGAATGAGTGTAAACCTTTTTAAAAAAAATATACAATATACCTGAAAGACAATAATAACAATAATAATAAACTTAACCGACTCAAATAATAAAACATGCATATCTCCGTAAAAATAGTTTAAAGTGTAATTCTTGGGAAGAATTCATTCATTATTACATCAGGTAAAACAAACAATATTATGGTTACTTGAGAAATAAAATAGGTGGAAAGACAAATGGAGACAAAAGGGGGGAGGGGGAAGATGAAAAGTAACGGAAGAAAGGGAGGGGGGAAGGAAGTTAAGGATAAAAAGACACCCATCTGATTGCATAAATCAGAGAATCTCCTCTTCAAAGAATGAGCAAGTTATTATTGAGCTGAAGTAAAGCAATACGGTAGTAGTAGTCGTAGTAGTAGTAATATTATTAGTTATTCATGAATGTCGTGAGTCGTACACGCATTTAACAATACTGTTTACTTGGGAAAAACATGTTTCCAAAAGGTTTTGGTGTATCTCTGTGTAGGTAATATGTAAGTTGTGTGTAAAATTCCAGCTATGATTGAACACGTTGTTGACTTTGTTTCAACTGATGTAAACTTGGTGCTTGTGCACGTGTACCGTATTTTTCAGGTTTTACTAGTGAATCTAAATCAATGCTCAGTGTTTCTAAATCTTTCCATGTACTACCGATATTAAGTGATTTCCCTTTGGATGGTGAAGTTGGATTGGATTGAAGTGGTTCTTGTTGTTGTTGTTGTTGCTGTTGTCGATTTTCTTCAGCTGGCTTGTTCCAAAAGGACTGCTGAATGAATATATGTGTGTAAATAGAAAGGAGAAACAAAGGGATAAGGTCAACAGAAATATATATATGATAAAAATAAAAATTCAATTGAAATTTTCAAAAGAATGGATACTGAACATAGAGTACTCTTTTCGATAACTTCATCATCAGGCTCTACAGTTATATATACATTATAGTGAATGAATGAATTAGTGTTATGAACAACATTAATGTTTAAATAACATCGAATCAATAATATTGAAATACCAATACCAATTGAAATTATTGTTGGTACTCAGAACAGTTTAACAGTCAGGAAAATATCTAACCAATAACAACAGCCACCAATCATGATCAATAGAAGAAATTTGAAGGAAGTTACTTCTTTTACAAATCTAGGAAGCATCGTTTCACAGAGTACGGATGAGAATGTCAAAGGCAGGATTTGAAAGGCAAGACAGATCTTTGTTAGTCTGAAATCAATCTGGAAATCTACTGCAGATGTGTTCACTTGTAAACTGCCTTTCAGATTTTAAAAATTCTTACTAATTTTAGTCTAATTATTTAGTCTCGTGTACATTTTCGTCTATTGCAGTTTCACTGCATTGCCTTTATCTACTCTTATGCATGCCTTTCCAAAGTGTAGCCACTTGAATCAGATGCATTTTTATGCAAAGTTCTACATCCAGTCAGTCGGTCTAGTTACTACAGTCAGTTCAGACAGAGGAATTTATTTTCTGGTTGGATAATTTTTAATGCTACAACTGATCATAATAACAATCTATAATCAAAATGACAGTATAGAGAATTGAAACTTCCCATTATATAAAACTGCATATGGATATTTACTGATCACAATAATTTTATCAGTCTTATTTATACAACACATACAACATAGAATGTGAAAGAGACAACGCGCATTTGTAATAAAAACTATCTTTGAATTCAGACTAGCAATACTGGAATTATAGAACTACTCTAGCGAGAAAAAGTCTCAAAGTTTATTTTTCTTTCATTATATTTATTTCATACTACTCTGGATAATATGCCATTTCAAGGATTAGAAAAATCTGTTCGGAAGACACGATAGAGAAAGAATTAAATTTATTACGTGAAACCCTACTAGAGAACGGGTATCCACCAAGATTCATAGACAAAAACATGAAAGAAAAGCCTCCGTCGCTAAAAATCACAACTATTCCTAAGAAAACTTTCTTCATGAACCTGGAACACATAGATAACATCGAAGCAGAAATTCTTAGAAACCGCCTTTCTAAATGTCTGAAGAAGACATTCTCCAGCAGATAGTAAATCCAGTCTAACGTTAAGGATAAGATACCGTTTTTGGCCACCTCAATGTGTATTTATCAGTCTACTTGCTCGTGCAAGTATATCGGCCGTACGCAACATCAAGGCCATAAACGTATTCTGGAACACCGTCCAGCTTGGTTATCCAGAGGAAAGAAGAAGAATAGTAGCAGGTTTATCCTCGAACACCTTGTCGACTCTGTTCATCGAGCAACCCCGAATGAATGCTTCACAGTGCTACACAGAGTCCCTCAATATTGTACAAAGGGACTTCGCATAAGCCACCCGTAACATAGCTGAATCATCGGCTATTCGGGATATGAAACCGGACCTTTGCATTCAAAAGCACTACATACATTTACTCGCCCTACCGTGGTCAGAGTAACGTTCTTACCAAAATTTTGCTTCTTTTCATTATGTAAGTTTACTATTATTATTATTTCCATCATCCATATTTTATTACCACTCTATTACAGTTTATCAATAAAATTGCGCTTTCATGCAGATTTTATGGAAAAACACTTTATCGTCTTTCCACTAGTTCCTATCCATTCTACACAATCATATTGATTAGTCATTTCCTTTTAATTATTATGTCATACCAACTTCTGCCTCTTTTCTAGCTTCCAATTACTCACCCCCTCTGGGTTACACCTTACATTACGTGATACATTTTTTGAGGAAACATTTTACCAGTATCTGATTGGTATTATGAATTCATTGTTAAATATAATTACGAGTGTACAGCTTATGAAAATGAATCGTCGAAAAGAAAATTTTCTTCGCTGTTTACGTCTTTTTCCTACTTTGATATCTTTCGTAAAGGTAGCAATATGTCTTTATCGTAATGGAATAAAGATTGAGAATAAAAACTAACATGCATAAATACATACTTAAAACAAAACAAAAAAACGACAACTTTCATGCCTAAATTTAACTTACATTTTGTCCGCCAGTCGTTTGGTAATTAGTATTTGAAGAAGGAAAATCGATATCATCAAATGATAAAAGAGATGAATTTGTAACGGCAGTGGAAGCATTCACAGGAATAGAAGAAGACTGTACAGTTGCCGAAGTAAAATCACCGAACTCATTATCCAATAAACTGTGTAAAAGTTAGATTTTTTAAAAAAAAGAAACAATCAGTAGAGAAACAATATCATTATGTATTAACACAGTACTTGAGCAAGTTTGGCGGCACAGCGGTAGAATGCTCGCAAATGCCGTTCGGGGTTCTATCCCCAGCTGATGCACTGCTTTACCTCGCTAAGCCAGTAATAAGACTGGTAAAGAGCTAAGGTTGGATGTGAGGCTAGCAACCCCCTTCGTAAAAAAAAGAAACTCCACTGCTACCGGAACTTCAAAGCTCTACCTTGAAGCCCTATGTTCCAATGGGAACGTAAAGGAATAAAATAATAAAAAATAATAAATAGAGTAGGTATGAACAGCTACACAAAAGTTCAGAGTATGAGATAACTGAACAGTTGTGGCTCATTTCTGGGGCGTCCAAATTCACAATCAAAGGGTCACCTGTTTTAACTTGGTATGCTCCATTTGCCAACGCATAAGTAGGCAGGAAAGACCACAAGTCATCAGACAATACTTTTGGCAATAATTGGTTTCCTTCATTTTCTGTCAGACAATGAGTTACTCATTCATCAAAACAGATCTTCCGCGTACGAAAATACGAGCCATACCTGTTGATGATACTACCATCCAGTTGATTAAAACGAAGTAGGTATAGATTGGGATTCGAAACCATAAGGTTGAGTACTTCATCGAATGAAATTCAACTTCACAATTGTATATTATCAGAATTATTACATTTCCAATACTTACTTATCATGATTTTGGTATGAAATAGGAGAGTAGTTCTGATTAGTATTGGTTTTCGAAGATACATTTGAAGGAGTTAAACTTTCAGGCCAACTTTCTACAAAAGCATTTTGCACATGCTGAGACTGTTGTTGGTGCTGTTGCTGTTGTTGTCGTTGAGAGTTGGTACTGCCAGTTGGACTGTGTATTGTATCACAAGTATCAAAAAGATCAATAACTTGATTTGAACCGATTGTCAAATTACCAAATGAATCCATTAAATCACAAGATGGTGGTCTTGGCTTTGGATTATTTCTGCTAGAATCCTAAAATTAAATTAAATTTTAAAATAATTGTTTGAAATGAGAAAATAATAATTTAACTATTGCATCAGTAGATGTAGTAGTATTCATAGATCATATATTTCAAAAGGTTGTTCTTTTCATCTTAGTTATTTATATTTTATTCCTTTGCGCTCCCAGTGGAACATAGGACTTCAAGTTTGAACTTTCAGTAGCAGTGGTGTTAATTTTTCACGGAGTGAGGTAGCTAGAGTCACACCCAAACTTCTCTCTTTACTGGTCTTACTATCGGCTAAGAAAGGTTTAGGAGTGCGTCAGCCAGGAATCGAATCCCGGACCACATGTGTGGTTGGTGAGTGTCCTACCATTAAACCACCGAGGCACATTTTCATCTTCTTACCCATTATTATTTATGTTATGGTATTCATTACGACTATCACCATCACGTATACATATACCGTTGAAAATGAATTAGTTCATCACTGTCCAGCGTTTGTTAATCTGATACAGAAGAAAGTTAGGATAAAGTGAGCATTTCTACATCCTTTTTAAGTACAAATTGATGTGACGTATGCCTTTTAAATTTATTTACATATTCACTGACATTGGTTCCAATCGTCAGATAATACTTTCTAACATGATGATGAGCCAGTGCCCATCAGAACGCGATGACTCTGCCACATCGTTCGTGTATCTGGGTAGTTGTGTGAGTGCTTAACGACAGATTTCCAATCGTATCATGAAAGCTAGGGTGAAAAACGTCAATTTGAGCCACCTCTGGCGCCGTCGCAACGTTAGCCTGGCTGCCAAAGGTCAGGTTTACAATGCTTCGGTGAGCGTTGTCTTCCTCTACGCCTGCGAAACCCGGCTACCCCGAGCTGAGGATGTGTGGCGACTCCGTGTATTCGATCATCGTTGTCTCCGTAGAATTGCTTGCGTTTGATGGTATCATCTCCATATCATGTCAGTGATTCTGAGGTCCAGCACCGTGTGTTTGGACACAGTGGAGACCACCATTCATTGAGTGTAGTCATCTGGAAACACCGGCTTTGGTGGCTTGGACATGTGCTACGAATATCATGCCAGAGGTTTCCGTACCCGTCTATCTTCGCTAGTCCTGGGACGGGATGGAAACAGCCGAGAGGTGGTGGCGTCGTAGGATGAAAGATACTTGTGGTAGGTTAGCATCGGTTAGTGTGTCACGACTCCCTGTTTGGAGTCCGAGAAATAGCTTGAATCGGTGGCTCAAAACGTTATCGGACATGGCCAAGAATCGCAATAAGTGGCGAACCTGTTGCAATTTACTTCTTTCTTCCCTTCCCGATGGCAATTGATGAATGCTGTTTGAAATTGTTAAATATAATTACTTTCTTCCCAGATGAAGTCCTTTTTTTCATATGTCGTTTTATTATTATTGTGTGCCTCATCTTCTTGGTGCCATAGTGTGACCAGGTTTTGTGTTTTGAATAATAAATAATAATATATCACACTAATAATATTCTCCTTTTAAATGTATTTGACTCTCGCACAATAAAATTTTCTTTCGTTTCTCAATTTGAGTGATATTTACAGCTTTGAAAAATTATTATTGTTATCTGTGATATCTACTAAACAACAGTTGTCATTTTGGTCTTTCGGACCCCAACCAGGGAGTCATGATTTACCAACTGATGCTAACCTACCACAAATATCCTTCATCTCACAACGCCACGTCATGGGCTGACCACGTCTTCACTTTTTCCATCCACTCCCAGGACTAGTGAATAGAGATGGGTACGGAAGCCTCTCGCATGACATTCGTAGCACATGTTCAAGCCATTAAAGCCAGTGTTTCCAGATGACTACACTCAATGAATGGTGGTCTCCACTGTGTCCAAACATACGGTGCTGGACCTCAGAATTACTCACACGGTGATACCATAGGACGAAAGCAATTCCAAACCTACAGTGGACATGGGCTCTAGAATCTGAAAGGATCTAATGCTGTGTATAAACCTGTTTTGGTCGCCGCTAATGATAATAGAGCAGCTCCACTGCCTTGTGGATCAGGCGTCAAGTCAAAGGCTCGGGTGGGGGGTGGTACTGGTGTCTTAAGACAACCACGTATTTGGATCTGAGCATCCGGGCAGTATTCAAACTATGAGACAATAATTTATGTTATTTTGACTCTCTGAGGTGAATTTCAGACATACTTCCAGACTAAATTTAGGCATATTTATAGAATTTAGACAATTAGGTTAATATGCCAACCCACTACTGAATCAAACCATGCAGTGACTTATTAATATTAGAATAAATATATGTGTACTCCAATAGTGAAACACATAACACTTTTCACTACTGTATATTAACGAGGTATAATTTGTAAGTTTATTTAGAGAGTCCTACACACACACACATACACCATCTCATTTAAATAATAAAAACCCACGATTACGATATGGAATTTGTAGTTTTTCATCACCGTGTGAAAAGTAATACAGTTGTGTGTTTTTTTTAACTTGAATATTTACATTGACTGAATCTACTTTCTGACAGTTAACTATTCTGTTGTTGATTTTAACGTTGTTATACAGTGAAACAGTTAGAATGCGAATAATAAGAAGAAGAATAAAGATTACTGAAGTACCTGTTATTGTTATAATTAGCAGTCCTATCACCATGTTTGTTGTTGTAATATGCTATGATTATTAATATATGTGTACAACTTGCCCACTGTGGTAGTATGTAATTCCATATTGATTTTCATGCGCTGATTTACAAGGATTTAATTGGTTACAGGTTTGACCATACGAGCTGACATCAGTTAGAGAACCATTGGAAAATCTGCAGGGAATACTGGACAACTATTTCATCCTAGTTTGAGACCGCAAGACTGGTGTAGTTGAGCTACATATATCGCGAAATTGCAGAATTTGTAATACAAGAGTCATTGGATAAAGTCCCGGTGACCGAATGGTCTACGAGGTCGTCTTGAAACCTGAAGGTTCTGGTTTCGAACCCCGGTGGGTGCGCACTACTGGAGAGCCTCACACAAGGATTAAACGGCTGTCCACTGCTCCCTGGTTTTCCAATGGTTCTCTAACTGATTTCAGGCCAAGATCAAACCATATTAATTTGTTTTTTGGATGTATCACACACACACAGTGAAAAGTAACGAACACAATTATTGGTTAATAATTATATCACAGTTGTAACTACGCAACTTAAGAACTTGAATTCTTTTTTTAAATAAACAGTCATCAGTAACTGGTAATACTGAGTAAGCGAAAAGCCATTATATGCGAACTCACATATTTTGGACTGCCATAAATCACAGTACTACTACGGTCTTCGATCACACCGTCTACAATATGAACAGCCTTCTTACGGTGAACGAGGGCATAGTTCATCTTAACGCCACTATCTAGGTTTATGACATGTTGTCACTTTCGAGTATCGACAGAGAGCGTAACATGAGTTCTCTACTTCGTGCCAAGGTCAGACTGGTGTCGTCAAAGTGTTGAGCAGTAGTTAAACAGTAAAACAATAACAACTATAATTGTCGCTTGTTATTTCAAAGCGTGTAGGAATCAGTAACAAAACAGTTCATGCTGTGTAGCTGTTCAAGAAGCTCTGTGAAATCATAGACGGTTAGTTGCTACAGAGCTAGTCTGCAGTTCATTTCCCTATCTGTTAGTGTCAACTTAGAAATGTACTAATATATATGAGTATCACCGGTTGAGGTTGGTAGTCGGGAGATAAACTAAAGAAAAGTATGCTACTGCGATAGCAAATAGTATCACCACTTATCCAGTGCTTCATATTCCTGTTTCAGACCGTATTTAACTACTTGAAGCTATTGCTGCTTTCGACATATGAGCAGACTGTGATGTTAAGAAGCTACATCCTCAAATATACATTAAGCTACTATCGACCACAAGAGCACTGACAACAAGTACCTCGGCTGTTGTCGCTAGCTTGTAGATCGGCATTTTCATCCTTCAGTCGTTGTTTAGGCAAACAGAGGATAAGTAGCCCAAAATGAATCCAAACATATACGAGCACAAATATAAGAAAGGAAGGAGTAATACTGATGCTTAAATAGATAATCTATCCAACATATATTTGAAGCATAAAGATACTAAGTGAAGACATACCGGTTGTCTAGGTTCAACAATAACTTTTTGCATATGATCCACCGATCTACCATTAGAATGTGGTTTTCCATGAATACTATTATTATTATTGTTATTAATAACATTACTATTACGTTGATTAATACTGGATAAATTTGAAGAGTTAATAGATGATGAGAATTTATTCTGTACAGGTGGATGATCATTGCCATATCCTGCTGAATGTGTTCTAAGCTCATATGTACCACCAGTTTCAACTGCATCTGGTGGGAATTCATACACCTCTTCAGATACCATACGTGGATTTGATTCACTAAAAACAAAAATAATACCAACAAATACGTAAGAAAATTCATAAGCATAAAGATATTTAAATGCATGTATATTTAGCTCCAAATATATTCCTAGAAGGAAAAATAAGCAATATTCAAAATTCAACCGTAATATGAGGAAATGGAAATTCTAGCCTATCTTGCAGATAGATATATTTGTGTAAAAATCATTTTCAGAATCCAAGGTGAAACACTTATCTTATCCCTTTTAAATAACATGCAATGCATATGTAAAACAAACACGCCACTGATTAAACAGAAAATTTTGCAAAAAACCTCACAACCAAAACAAATGCATTTGGATCTTCGCCACACACACACACACGCGCGATAAACATACACGGAGTCAAAGTAAAAACTCTATGATATATAAATGGAATTCCTGAATAAAGTATCAAAAAGACGGAAAGTTACCTAACTCGACTACACATAAAACAGAAAGGGACAGGACAACATTAACCGGCTGAGTTTCGACACAGAATTTTGTACAGAAGTGCAGTGCTTCAAGTTTCCGTACTTCATGTTGCACATAAAGGAAGAGGAAAAGGGATTTAAAAGTATTATAATAAGCATAAATGTGAACAAGAAAGAATAGTAGCATGGAAAAAGACATTAGGATTTAATGGATCTGGGAGATAACAAAGAGTAAATGCGTCTGCGCTACTGACAACGATTGTCAGCCATTAGTTCTTAGAATCCCGAGGACCCCCGACCAGGTAGTCTACACCTCTCTACGTAGCTGGCTCAAACTAACAACTAAAGGTTTCTTGGATTCATTCCATGTTTTGGTTTTGATGCAGTTATGTTCTCTGAGCTGGATGGTTTGTTTGCGAAGCTTTTATTGCCCCCTACTAGGCAACATCATCAGCGCATACTTCAATTTGAAGTGGGCTTTTTAGATTTCTCCACGAGTTTATTAGTCATCTATCATGGTGACCTTGACCATGATTGGTTGTTTTCGTGTGTTTTCACACCCTCTAGGCTACTTGTATTACTATTGGTGTTGATTGTTCCTTTGACCTGAAGTTTGATGCTTTGTGTGTGAGATTTCCTTCTTACCGATTGGTAAGTGGAGAGACGACTAATAAACCCGTGGAGAAATCTAAAAAGCTCACTTCAAGTTGAAGTATGCGCTGAAGATGTTGACTAGTAGGGCAATGAAAGCTTCGCAAATAAACCATCCAGCTCAGATAACGCAACTATATCAAAATCATCCACCTGAGCCACAAATCTTCTCCATCATGTTTTGGTTTGACCACCACTGACCCTTTTCCAGCCAAACCCTATGTCAGTTAACGTTGCTTAATATGAGCAACACCTTTCCGAACCATTTCAATCAATGTAGCTTCACAACCTCATCGATTGACTTTCCCACCTTACCTAAAACTCGGCGTCTAACCTCAATATTACTCACTCTATTATACCACTGAACATATGAGACAGAACGCAAACGTCTGTAGTCAAACACAACTTATCTTACAAGTCAAAACAATAATAAAAGGCTGGCAAAAAAGGGTTGACATTCCAACCGGTAAATAAAGCTTACGTCATCTATGCTAGTCGGCCGAATTAAGCTCAAATACAAATATATCAGGTAGTGTTTATAGCAAAATATTTACGACTCAAACTCAACTCCGGCAGCATAAACGCAACCACCTGTCCCTCCCCTAATTATAGTAACATTTAATTGTGAAAATAATGAACAGAATACCATGTCAACGCTTTAAGCTGACAATTTTTTTTATTTTGTCCCTTCATGTTCTGAGTAGAAAATAGAACTTCAAGTTAAAGGTTTGAAGTTTCACTAACAGTGGTGTTAATTTTTTTTTACAGGGGAAGGTTGTTGTTTGCATCACACCTAACCCTCCCTCTTCTTTACTGGGCTCACTGTCAGCTAAACGAGGTGAAGGAATGCATAGGCCGGGGACCGAACTTCAAACCACCTGAGTGGTTGGCAACGACGATACAAACCAGACCAAATTAAGTGGAAGAAAGTTTAAGGCTTAAATAAGTTATTCTAAAATCAAATGCTTAAGCCCAATAATTTCCTCGAACGTGTCACAACTTTCTCCTGGCAGAATAGTAACCAAACAGGAAGGACCACTGTGGACAACAACACCGTCTGCAATCCACTTTGTAAACAACCACACAGAATTCCATTCTACACAATAACACCAATTCTATGACAAACCTTGCATCTCCTGTCTTAAACAGTTGTTATATTTTGTTTGACAAAAAAATGACTGAAACTTACCCATTAAACAGTCAGAACTTCCACCCCCCCCCCGCCCTCCCACTTTACTACGGCTAAACAAACATATCAACTTTACATGTAGAACAAACTATCATAAATTTTAGAACCATATGACAACCTACTCAGCATAAGGAAAGCGTATATACACATGAAAAAACAAACAAAACTAACAAAGTTAGCAAACGGAATGCCGCAGAAAGGAATACACATATATGTGTATATATTCATCATTAGACTGTATTTGTTAGATAGGATATTAAAATCTTAATTAAAAGAAACCTTGATGCGTATTATTATGTGTATGAGATGAGTGAGTGAGTGAGTGAGTGAGTTGAAGTGATAAAGCCAAACACAAACAAACATATACGCATAAACGCAAGTGCACACATCTATATATATACAAAGAAGCATTTTGCAGCAAAACCTCAGCAACTGTAAAGTTAAATCATGATAATCAATAACCGTTAATTTATTAATTAACTAAGGTATGCAATGTTTCACACACACACACACTTCAGCTATTACTAATCAAAACTACAGTATGACATGGTTATTTATGATAAATTTGTTGGTTGATGAAAGTAAGGTTAAACTATTCACACTAATTAACTCAATTTGGAATTTCCCGTCGATTGATTGGACCGAAGTGCTCGGCCTCTGATGGCATATCGGTTACGTGTGAGGATGCTTCGATGATGCCTGAGGAATTAACCTGAAGTGATTTAGTGGATGGTAACTGGCAATGGAATCCAGTATATGCATTTCGTTCTATTTCGGACTCGTCATTTGGATGTATCTGTGTGGTGAGAGCTGTCTGCTGGCCAAAATTGTAGTCACCAATTTACGTCAATGTCACGAGATAAAGCAATAACAAAGCCTAACCTTGAGGGACTCAACAACCAATCACAGAAGACTTAGCGTGGGCGGATACGATTAGCAGATATATCACTGGACTGTCTAAGAACCAGCAACAAAGAGATGACAGAATAACCTTCAGCAGGAAAACAACCAATCAGAAGACGTTACCTCTCTGCTAACAATAACGAATAATAATATACATAAAAATCTATAAATATCTGTTGATTTTCTCAATAAACGATCTGTTGCCTGGCCCTTGTCTTCTGTTGTTACACCTGCACTTCCCAGTGAGTAGTGGTGTTCCCACCGAACACTTTGGTTCAATCAATCAACAGGAAAATCGAAATTGAATTAAATAATAACTGACACTCGTTGTACAAGATGTTGCTCTCGTGGCTTAAGTGGTCTAGAGGATAATGCCTGTGGGTACTGGGTTCGAGTCTCAGCAAGAACACCATCACTCACTAGGGAATGCAGATACATCCAGATGACGAGTCCCAAGTAAGACGAAATGCAAATCCTGGATTCCACTGCTAGTCACCATCCACCAAATTATTCACACTATTCATTAGTAATATGTCAATGACAATAACGACGATAATAGTAATAATAACAACAGTAACAATGATAATAATAATAATAATAACGAAATTTATGATGAGTTGAATTCACAAATGAAAGCGGGAGGGGGCGAGGGAAAATATAAGTTACACTCCGCACTTGCTTATTTTTTCCACCATACTCAAACAAATAAATAACAACAATAAAGACTAGTATTAATAGTCTAACTGAAGCACAACTACTACTACCTACTTTGTTCTGATATCTGGAGATTTTTTGGTGAAAATTAAATCTTTTGTGGATTCTTTTGCCATATCCCAAGCTTCTTTGAATTGTTCTAGTACATCATCGATTACACCACGTTCTTTACCCACATGCCAGTCATCAAAACTACCCAATCTAGGCGGTGGTAAATCTGATTCCAATCGAGGCATTGTAGGCGGTTTAGGCGTTGTATGCGATTGAAAGGTATAACTTTTTGATATATAATCGTCTTTATCATAATTGTCAAATGAATCACTTAGATAAGAAGAAGACAAAAGTTGTTTTTGTGTAAAGCAAACATTGAAAAGCAATGGCATAAAAAGGGCAACAGTGTGTTTCACATTTAAAACAAAAAAGGAAAGAGGAGAACAGGCAAGCATTAAGAACAGAAACAAAAACATTACATAAAGAAAAGCATAAGCGCGCGCACACACACGCACACATGCACACACACAAAGCAAACAGTGAGTTAAAGGGGCCAGGTTATACAGGGTAAACATAATGATAAATATATATATGCATACATGTAAGCAGAAGATTGAGAAACACAGTGGAAGTAGTGGCAGGTGAAGGGGGGAGGAGGGAAAGAAAACAACAATAGACAATTAGTGACTTGTAACAATATATACGTAACAGAATTAAATTAACATTTTTGAAAAAATAAACACCTTTTTTATAACGTGCAATTAACATAAAATAGTCAAGAAGTTTAACATTGTTTCTGGGTTGTTATTGTTCTGTTTTGTTTTCCGTAGTAAAATTAATGAAGTCCTATAGATATCTAAGACCTTTAACACACATCGTTGTATCTCAGAGTATTTAAATAATTCACAGACACAAAACATCTCGCTATCAGAATAAAGACAATGGATTAACGCCTGGAATCAGATGGAATCCATGTTCACAAAATTATAAACTTCTCCAGGAAATAAGAAAAAGGAGAAGTGATAGATCAACACACAGTACACACATTAATACAAACACCCCAGTTAAACAATCACCATTTATCAGCATTGATATTGAAAGTTTTTTTAGTTGTAGATGGATTTTAGGCAGTCATTTTCTTTTTTTCGGTGCATATTATATCTTCCTGTAAAGTAAGTAACTCACAGTTAGGGAGTATAGTGATTCAACCAACGAATCACTCTCTTCCATTACACATTTTATTGTAATCCTTATCTTAGACTGTGTGTTATCATGTACACAATATTCAACAATGATTCTCACTAAACAACGAGTCACTAGTGGTAGGTCATTGACATTCAAATGTTAATTTCCAGAGATTTGATTGATTTCAAGTCTCATCACGGATTAAAGTTAGTTAAAGAACCACTGAAAAAAAATCAGGGAGTACTCAACAACCGTTACGTCCTAAGTTTGGGATTCTTCAGAAGTACCTGTCACTGTCAGAGGATCCCTGCTAATTTCGAACTCACGAAAAATACCCACCCATCCAGGCATGGAAATAAGAACAAAAAGTTCAGTGAAGAACTCTTTCCAGGATTTCATCATGAGCTGACATTGGTTAAAGAACCATTGGAAAACCTGGGAGTACTGGACAGCTGTTTCGTCCTAGTTTGGGACTCTTCATCAGTACGCACCCATCACAGGGGTTCGAACCCAGGACTTTCTGGTTACAAGGCAAGCTCGTAGACCATTAAGCCACTGGGACCCAATCCAATGGCCCATGAATTCTAACTTCTGCCAATTCACGATATAGCGCAACCGCCAACCAATGACTTCGGCGAATATTTGTCGTCACACCCGACTTTCTGTATCCTACTGGTTTACGACTTCCCACTAGAACCCCAGGTAACTGCCTACCTGAATAGGGCCAGTCGCCAGTGAGCATCTCATTGATATTCAAGTATTAGTTTGTAGGGATTTGGTTGATTGGTTACAGGATTTCATCATGAGCTAACCAATACTTGAAAAGAACTCGTTCCAGCGAATTCATTTACTTAGCTGTACAATCGCAATTGTATGTAATTATCTTCGTATGTGTGTGTGCCAAAAGAGACGTTAGACATGGATATAGCTTTCAAAGGCAACGTTCTGGCCGACATTCCAAAGGAGAGAATATCAAACGCATTGAAAAGAACATTCTTTCCTCCTACATAAAGATACGTATTCTTCCGCTCTAAAAATTTGTAAGATAAACTATCACATTTGACTACTTCTATATGTATCTACCAATTCACTCGCTCATGTGGAGTGAGATACATAGGTCGTTCAATGCATGCTTTATCTGAAGGAATTAAAGGATACTATCCCGTATGACTACAGAAAGGTTGAAATGAATCAGGACGCAGTGTATTAATTGAACACATAGTCAACACTGGTTACTCGATACACAAAGAAAATTTAATTAATCTACAAAGTCAAAAGAAACCTCCTCCGAAAACGGTATGCTTCCGTGTACTTCAGATTGCTGAGACCTTAGTCATTCGGATAGATAAGCCTGATTTATGTACATACACAGGAGAAACTTCTCCATTCTCTTCTTTTACCTTGAGTATAATTTCAAGCTCAAGTGTTATCAATATTTTGTTATTAGTGCTAATTTTGGCATTTTTCGTATGACATTTATTAACATTTTTTCTCCTTCACGTTCCCCAGTGGAACATAGGGCTTCAAGCTAGTGGCTTGAAGTTTCTGTAGCAGTGTTTATTTTACAGGATGGGGTTGCTAGCCTCATGCCCAACCTTTCCTCTTTACCAGCATTATTTCTGGCTCAGCGAGGTAAAGGAGTGCGTCAGTGGCCGGGAATCGAACCCGGACCATGTGCATGGTCGGCGAGCGTCCTAACCGCTATACCACCGACGCACACACATTTATTAACATAATGTTCCTAACTAATCTTTTGTTTACTTTCTTTACCAACTACATAATTTATTTTGATACCTGTCTCCGTGCTCTGCCACTGAAATCCAATTTTTCTGAACACTTTTCATATTACTCAACCTTTAATCTTCACACACACACGCTCGCAGTAACAGCTTGATTTTGATGATGTAAGCTATACTCCAAATTTAATGTATATACATATACAAAAATAATTATACATAATCGCGACTGTGCTGCTAAGTGAATGAATTCGCCGAAAAGAGTCTCTTAGCTGAACTATTTTGTTCTTATTTCTTCAGAAGTACACAACACCTATGACCGCGTACTAGTCAGGAGTTAAAATTCATGAGCTATTGGATTCCATTACATTGGCTGAACAGTTGACCAGTTCGTCTTATAACCTGAGGGTCCTGAGTTCGACCCCTGGTGCACTAATGGGTGTATGATGAAGAGTCCCGAACTTTCCAGTACTCCCTGGTTTTCAGTGGTTCTTTAACTGATTTCAATCAGTGAGTGATAAATACTCTCTGGACAATTCATGAACAATATTCAAATATGAATAGGACAACTTATGAGTGAATAGTATGCAATTTCTGAAGCGCGTGTGTACCATACATTTAATATTTAATAAAGTTAAATTCAGTTCATATTTTCATGTCACTTTATTATTTATTCATACTTCAATTTCTTTTTCATTCTAAACTGTTGTTTTAAATTAATATAGTCGATGATATATGTAAATTTATGACCACTGTTCAAAACATTAATAGAAATCAACCCATAAATGAAATTCAGTAACATACATTTTTCACTTATTTTTACTGGGAATATGAAATATAACAAATATATATTTCATACGAGCATAAGACAAACACACTTCTTTGATCTTCTAACTATCCGCAACATAAACTGCACACAAAATGTCTTACTAAGCAAAGTGAGAAAAGTTCGCTATGAGAACTAATCACAGAGGTAGTCAGAATACAATCATTTTACCCTGATCGAAATAAAATATGCATTAGTCAAGTTGAGGTTAATGGTTGCTGCAAAAAATTATCACTATTCAGCCCTAGTTTAGCAAGCGAAGTTCCGCCACAGAATGTTGCCACACAAAGCATGGAAAGATATCTTTTCCAAAGCGAAAAATCTTTCTCATTTATGCAGTCAATGAATTGTCACGTCTCACAAAAGAACAGTAAAGGCTATTCAGTTTTTGTCAAATTCTTATATACCTATCAGACTATGGAGATAGTCATCATACTGACCAATCAACAAGACACTGTTGTAGACAATAGGTCTCTCTAAGCATTTCTATTCGTGACAGCGAGGGAAGATAAATCAAATCTACATTAAATTCTACTTTGTCTTATCTGATTGGCAGTTTTCACTTGGTTAAAATGATGGAAAATATCCAAAAGGATTCATTTCATACAAGCGAATGACGCTAGTGTACTTCGCATTAATCTGTGTATTCAGAAGAGATTTCCTTTCTCATTATCATTACTCTGGTCGAAGAAGATTAAATTAAATTCTTATATTTCTTTCATTTTGATGAATATCCCTTTTGGATTGCATTTTTTTTCCTATCCCTACTAAATCATCACTCGAACTCAGTTCACCTACTTCTTGCTCCCTTTGTTGTCACGCGACTCTACTGTTTATTTTCAAGCTTTGATCTACGATGTCCGCTTGGATGGGTGTTTACCTAATCAATGTTATAATATTAACTGATTGAGAAATTCGCATGTTAATTATAGTACCACTAATACCACTAACAGACCAGTATGGTTGGTTTATATTTTGTAATTATTTGCAGTGATATATATATATGTACATTAGATCAACAACTAAGAAGGATTGAATTGAAGAGAATATTATTTATAAAAAGAGGTTGTTTGGACTTAGTTACCAGGATCAGACCCTACATGTGCCAGACTGAGCCACACACTGTATGACGCCTAATGATACCATTCAGTTGCCTAGGCTAAATTAGGTGTAGCAGGACTTTAATCCTGAGAACCCCATTGGCTATAAGCCGAGTACTTTAACCAGTGAGTCACATCTTCATATTAAGGGTTAAAAAATTTCCTAAATACCTTAAACATTGTCATTTAATTTATAAATTTAGGATGCTTCACGTTAGGATTAAAACAATTTCTTACATCAACGTAATCATAAATTACATATTTGACTGCCTAAGACTTCTATATACAGTGTCTTACCTTGATGTATTTGCGGTATAATTCCTTACGTAATAGAATTATAAATCCTGAATACGACGAATCACTTCACATTAACTTCTCACGCCAATTTAATATAGTTGTGCAGTGATTAAAACTAGTCAATAAAAACCACGGGTTTTAATTCAACATATTCAAAACGAACTGGCACGGCCTAGGGTGGGTAGACTTCGATCTTCCTCTCGAAATGTTTTCATTTGGCCACGTGTTCATAGCTTTGCTCTGTAAGGTAAGTCCTATTCATTGCCTTCACACAACGGCGCAGCTCCTCACAAAATTGAAAGAGCAAATTAGAACATCTGGAGCTTACAACCGGATTGGCAGACACGGTGGTTTACTTAAGTTAGCTAGAAAACCATGATTCCAAACCTATGGTGTACATGGGCAGCAGAATCCGAAAGGATCAAGTGGCGTATGAACCTGTTCTGGTTGCCGGCAACTACAGAAACGCAACTTTTCCACTGCCACTGTGAATCAGATTTCAAGTCAGACCCGAAGTTGATCTCATAAGACAACTATCTGCTTCGGTTTAAGTGTCAGGGCAGTATCCCAGCCTTTGCACAAGCTATGACATTTTGTGTGACGCATCTCTTGGTGCCGAAAATGTACTGAGTTTTTATTTTAATACCAGTAATAATCATTTTTACTTTTTTTATTACAGCTTGATTCCACATCGTATTTTTTGGTACAGGTATGGAAATTTTCAGTATGTGATATTGGTAGCCCAAATTTTGCAGGCCGACCATAGATATCAGGTTTGCGTCGGCAGGGGATCGAACTCCGGACCATGTGTATGGTCGGTGAGAGTCCTAACCACTGTGCCACCGACGGACATGTGTATTCGAAAAACTGCCCAGAGAATCGCACCTATCTTTACTACTCTAATGAAATCTATCCGTGCAACCGACAGGAACAAATTTCAGAAATATCTAAATATGGACAAAGGGACTTACGATCGTCGATAATAATCCGTTCCACCACCACCACCGCCACCGCCACCTCTGCTACCATATGAAGAATAACCCCAATCTGATTCATTAGCATTCCCATATCCTGTATAAAGATGTCTACTGGCTTTGGCTTTTTGACGCTCTTCCTGTAACTTTTCTGGATCTTGTAAAAGATCAATTACTTCTTGGACTTTGATACGAACTAAAAGATTGTTAAAGTTGAAATTTTAAAAAATAATGCAATTAGACGAATTCCTGTAGGTGTAAAAGCACACATATATGAATGCTAGAGTGTGCAGCAGAATTGTCAAAATATCCGTATTTTTGAAGACAGTACCAATTTTTTAAATACAAACATAAACTTATGAAATTAAATCCAACAACTAGCATACAATCTGGTTACAAACGTGGATTTTTACATAGTCCTAGCTGTATATGTGGTGCTTTAGTGCTAAAAACATCTCAGTATATGTCAGTATAGAATGAGTGCTGCATAATTACTATTCATTCGCTTAAATGAGTGCTTACAGACATAAGAAATGAGATAGTTAGCGCTGCAGTTATATGCGCTTATATAGAATCATAAAATTGTTCAGACACTTTACCCTGTATATGTTAAGTATCTAAGAGCTTATTTAAAGTCTGCAGAGTACAACTTTTCTTTTTAGGGATAAACCGATAGATATCTCTACAAAACTACTTCAACCTGCTGTAAAAAATAAACACCGACTCTATCATTTAAACCTTCTTCGTGTTACCATTATCATATCGCTTAATGTTTCCTGAGCACTTTCCTTACTTCGTAAAAATTACTAACTACTTAATCTACAATAGAACACTGCTTCTTTTTATGAGAGGTCTGCTGTTGACTTCGCTTCGAAGCTTTCAGCAAACACTTAAAACCTGAGCTAAATCAGGTAACAGGTTTCATTAAAACTCTGACATACTGATATTAAGGTGTAGCTAAAGGAATCTTAGAAGTTCAAAATATGAAAAAAAAGAAATAGTCCCACCACATAAGTATTGACTGTCTATCATTTCACCTCCTGAAGTTTCACAAGTCGAGCATTATGATTACCTCTTACTCCTTCAAAATGGATGCACTTTGATGCACAATTATGCACACAGCTGCTACGTTACAAACACAATGAATATATGTGACCCTAATAACCATCACAGTTATCTAAGCCACAAGACTGTAACATTACTTTCAAAGCATTCATCAACATATCCTTCATTAGCTTTTATTCAGATACATATATATTATCCAAAAATGTAGCGACTCTGAATCCCGTTAGATATTGTGAATTTCAAGACCCTAGATATAATACTAATGAGGTTGGACGCACTGAGCTTATTATAAGCACTCCCTCTTTGTTTAATTTGATGGAACTACCTTCAACTTGGTCAGTAGTTCAATGATAGAATGCTCCTCAACACACGTAATCCAAGTTTGATCCTCGGACAACGCACTCCTAAACGGCACATGGTTTGCTAGCTAATAATAAAGTGGGAAAAGAGGAAAGGTTGGGTGTGCGGATCGCAACACCAACCCCTTAGAAACAACAACACAACCGCTACTGAAATTCCGAAGCTTGAAGCTGTGTATTCCACTCAGGACGCAAGTAATGAAAATGACTGGAGCTACTACACCCTCACTTCTATCGTAAATATTTTAATGAATAAGTCGGACTGGTATTTTAGAACTTATGAGAGCGAAATCTGAAATACTTTCTCTATTTTGTATTTCAGATTTTAAAAAGGCTTTCACAAATTCAGTGAGATGTGGATAAGAAACGCCGAAATTAAATGATGAACAATAGATAATAAAATCATACTGATTGAGTTTTTCTCTTGTGTTCTGTAAATAACTGCGACTTCTTTTCTAAAATACTGTATTTACATTTTGTAGGTAAATAAACTAACGGTAATCAGAAACACCTTACCGGGAAAAAAGCACTAATGGTGACAATTAGGTAATCAGAGATTTAACTTCTGACTAGTGAGGTTTGAATAATCCAAATAAAGACTCAGTGGTTGGTACATGAACTCATACTTCGTTCTGAATTAAAATTATTGCAGTTTTGTGCGTTTGGCCAACCCAGTTACTTATTGCATGTTTTATTTAGTGAACTATGAGCCACATTTATTGTATGAGGTTTTATGAGACTAGCTGGCTACAAGAGTCGAACAAAATAAAGTAGTATTTCAGAGAAGGACTGATCGGTAGAAAGTTACATGCGAGATATCAGTAGCTTTAAGTTTCTATATATTTTTGAAAATACACTATCACTTACCATTCATTCCTTGATCTTTTCCATTCTCATCAAAGTAACGAAAAGATTCAAGAGTACGAATGTCATAGATATGATCTCGAGCTGCTTGCGCAACATAATCAGATCCATTACGTAACAGGAAAGCGAGGACAAACAATGACTGCGAATACAAATGAAAACATACGAAAAATAAGACAACACGAAAATACGCCAATAAAATAAATTTCGATAACTATAAATGAGCAATAGAAAAGCTGCTATGTTTAAAAACATTTACAAGTAACAGAGAAACTGTAAAAGAAAAACACAGAGACAGACTCTGCTTCTGGAGCTTATGAAACAGTTACTCAGACTTAAAGATACGCAAAGAAGTATTCCCGAGAATAATCACGTGTGAAAGTATATCAAATGGACTTTGGGCGGTGAAGGTGAAAACAAAAATCACTTTAACAAACGAGATACATACATATAACCGATATGTTACTCAACAGTTCTGAAGCGTTTCACTTTCTTAAGCGTGTTATTTCCAAGCTAAGATCAGGAATTACGTGATTATGGGTTACATTGGAAGATTAATCTGTATGTAGTCATAATATGAAACTTTTTTCTTAAACGCAGAGGAGTATTTGCATCTAATAATAGGGGAATATGTCTGACTCAGTCATGTAATAATACTGGCTCACAGTTTCTAATTATCGCAAGAAAAAAGACAGAAATTACTGTTGTAATCCTTTGTTTAGTCTTCTTTATAACTTCCACAACCTCCACCGGATTTAGTCAATATATCTATTAATATACTACTCGGGCTGATGAGTGACGAAAATTCCGTGAAACTGTTCCTCAGTACCCCTGCTCTTGTGAGAGGACTAGTGATCTCTTTTTAGTGATAATCTTACAGATTCCTAGTTTTAAAAATGATTCGTCTGCTGCCATCCTTTAATGCTATATTCCCCAACGATAAATGCATCGGAAAAATCTTAACAACTTGACTTATCCAGATTTTAAGACTTTTGATGGCTGTTGTCTGGAGTACATTTAGTAAGACTGAACTAATCTGAATGTTTATTATTTTGAAGTAATTCAAGACATCTACCTGATGTCCGATGAGAGCCAAACTTTTTACAAGACACGAATTCCTCTTAGCTGTGGAATATTTAAGAAACTTCGTATTTTGTATTTTCAATATCAACCAAGTAGAAACCAATAACAAACACAACGCCCTCTGCATTACCATCCCACGAGTATGAAAATGCAGTATCTAAAAACCAATTATCTGCCAAATATTCACAGCTGTGGAACTTCAACGAGGCAACGTACGCTACTGGGCAGCACTTAGATCAATAGTTGGGAAATTTAATAATTGGCTCTAATCCATTTCTTTGAATATAATTCGCAAACCAGGTAGCCTGACAAAAAATGTCTCATTCGCGGGAAAAATGAAAAAGCCTCTAATAGACATATATAAAATTATAGGCCTAAAGGTGGTCGACTGGTTGCATGTAGTGTCTTGGGCGCTTTTCACAAGCCATATCAAAATACGTATATTTTACGTGCTGTATGACTCCAAATTTCTGTCTAAGGATCTAAAGAACAAAGTCCCTGTTAGACAACTTTCTTTCACCAAATGACGGAAGGAATATTAAGGCAGTCTTTACTCTCGATGATATCATGAAATTATCCACACTTTATAAACTCGGCTTATATAAATACAAGAATCCCAGCTAACATTGCGTCACACTTGAGTTAGATATAAAAACAGCGAAACTAAATGTAACAGAAGTATGTAAAGCCTTATATAAGTAAACAAGGAATCAAAATATTGACATTTCTACATATTAAATTAAATACGGTAAGACTTGCCTTATACACCCTTCTCCAAGAGCAATTGCCATCAGAATGCATTCTCTTCCACAAAACAGACATAACTTCAAGAAATGTGTCATGTGTATATGTGTAATCTGCCAACTTTTGCAAAAGTCGACCATGAGGACAACATATTTCATCATTCGTCGCCTCACGAACCTTCAACTCCACCTCTGTATAATTCATCATGATGTTAGTTCTTTTAAAATTATTTAGAATAGTACAGCTTACACTTTGTCAGCCAATTCTTTTCCTTTGTAAAGAATGTCCCGCAGCATCTTGAGCACACTTCAAAATTCCTCCAAATCCTAGTTTTAAATCGAGCGCTGCCAACAAATATTTAGTTTCTATGTACACAAACATATACTGCACTACCTCGAGTAAATGAAATATAAAATCAGTACATGTCTAACTTCATTCCTAGGTGTGCTTATGAGCGGAGGTGGCTATTATAAGTAGAATGACTGCATAAGTAAGCAACACTTAACATCCTTTGCAAAATTATAATAAATATAGGTTTATGAACAGCGAGTAAAAATCTCCATACTGATTAGATGGATATACAAAACTGAGCAGCCTTCTAAGATGGAAAAATTTGATTAGTTATTAAATCATTGACAATAGTTGACGTTCAGTACACCGTCTACATCCAGTTCTCTGGGTTCCAAATAACTTCGGCTGCTAGGATACTAAGAATATGCAATAAATTACATTTCAAACTGACAAACTGGACGGAGATAATTAATGACGCTTTGTGATAATTTTAAACGGTGGATTCTAGCTAACTGCCTTCTGAGTCTAATCAAGTTCATTATTAAATAAGATTAATTCATTTATGTGGCGCAGTTACAACTGTGTTACAAAACAGGTTATCATTTCGTGGCAAGTGAAAACGAATGAAAAGTAAGACAGTCTCTGATAATGTAACTGAAAGTTGTTTATCTGCAACACAAGTGCATAGATCAAAATGTGATTTATGCACATCAAAGAATAAGATAACCTTGACTAATTTACTAGCTCGCTAGTTTAATATACGGTCCCAGGCCAAGGTAAAAATGGAGGGTTGGGTGTGGGGCTAGCCACCCTACACCACAAAACCAATCATACTGCTACAGAAACTTCAAAGCAGAACAAAACATGTCAAAAATAAAAAAGATGAGAAACAAACTTATTCTTAGCCGGAATCGGAAAGGCGAAATGAAACAGTAGGTTGGTGAAAGCCCGCCTTCAGGTGGCCAGTCAGCTTGCCCATATGTCTTCTTTCTTTCTGTGAAAGCAAGAATAAGAATGAGGACATGGAATGTTCGTACAATGTACGAAGCTGCCTGCGAAGGCTGCCCACGAAGCCAAAGAAATTAGAAGATCTGGTTTAGAGGTGCTGGAAATCTGCGAGAGTAGACGGAATGAATGTGAAATGTCAAAATTGTCAACCGGCGAGTCAGTAATCTACTCCGACCTGGTCACTCAGACGACAAACACAAACCCACTGAGGCAGCGAGTGACTATCGTGGCAGCTAAAGGCTTAACACAATGGGAACCAATTTTCATCCCGCAGCATTATGACAGTAAGATTCACCTGTAAAGGAATGTAACAATTATCCACAGCTACGCATAGTGTTACAAACGACGCGGCACATGAGGAGAAAGATGATTTTTTAGACAACTACAAACAGCGATGGATAACATCCCGAATGGCAACATCAAGGTTTTTATGTGTGATGTGAATGCAAACCAAACTTGGAGCAGATAAAAGAGGAAGAGAACTCACCATGTGTTGAGAGGCTCCCGCTCGACTAGATGAATGACAACAGAAAACTTCGCAGACTTCTGCACTTCAATTATTTGGTGACTGGAGGCAACGTGTACAAGCACAAGTCACTGACATGGATTTCGCCTGATGAACACACGATGGGCTGCTCAAAAAAGCGGAGACGCGGGCAGTCTGCCGGACACAAAGTCGAGAAGCGGAGCAGATGTGAGCTCAGACCATCACCTAGAGCAAGAAACCTACAAGGTGATGCTGAAATCCTTCAGAACAAATGAACACAGACCGCTGTTGTTCAAGTTCGAAATTCAATAACTGGAGGACAGAACTACAGGGGATACCTCCACTGCAGATCGGATCTGAGCAGAGTAGGAGGCACTACATTGCATCACTGAGAAAATCTGCGTAGACGGACATCGGAACTAACTTTTTAAAGGTGATGTTCAAGGAAACGTGTGCAAATGTTCCAAGGAGAAGGAAGAGACACGACAAGAACGGCTCTCAAAGGATACCTGGAAGCTAATCGAGGAGAGGAGGATGGTGAAAGAGAGGATGATCCAATGCAGAGATGGACAAGGGGAGGAGAGGCTGAGTTCAATGTACACTGCACTGAATACAGAAGTGAAGAAGGGTTCTAAGAAATATAAAAGACAATTCCACGAAACACCGGCAACTGAAACAGAACAAGACTAAGGCAAAGAATCCAGACATTATATCAAATAACCAGGCTGCTCGCTATCCGGAAAGAGATCAACCCATGTGATGAAAACAATAAGAGACGTACCGGGGAAACCGATTATCAAGGAGGAGAAACAAATAAAACAATGGGCTAATCACCTCAAAAGACTCTTAAATCGACTATCACCTGCAACTCACTCAGAAATACCACCACCAACAGCCCGCACAGAACTGCCAGCCAGTGGACACCAATCCTCCAACGAGAGCGGAAATTCTTAGTGCCATCAAGCTACTGAAGTCCAGTCAGGAAGGCAACAGAACCAGATGGAATTCCCTCTGAAGCACTGAAAACGGACCTAAAGACTGTAGCAGATATGCTTACACCATTATTGCAAAAGGCTTGGAAAGAAGGAAAGGTGCCTACTGATTGGAAGAAAGACTGGCCAGCGTGTCAAGCTACCAAAGAAGGGCGACCTAGTTAGGCCTAGGCAACAACTGGCGTGGAACAATGTTCTTGTCGTATCATCCTGGAGAGAATAAAAGATGCACTGAATGCAGAACTCCACCAACCTGGAAGAAGCTGGATTCAGGAAAGGTAAATCATGTGCTGATCGAACTGCAACTCTACGTGCCGCCATCGAAAAAACCATAAAATAGCAGTCAAATATCTAACTCAACTTAATAGGCTTCGGAAAGGCCTTCGACAGACAGTGTTCACCGAGAAGTAATTTGGTAACAGCTTGAGCACTACGGCATGCAGCACCCAAATTTTTATCAACCTCATTCAGCCACAGCTGTATGACAGTGCCACGTGTCAGGTGATCCACAAGGGGGAACTCAGCGAGGCATTCGAAGTGAATACAGGAGTAGTGCAAGCTGGCCGCCTATTATCACCAACGATGATATTCCTAACTGTGGTGGACTGGATTATGCGACAGACTGTGTGTTGGGAGTGAGAAGACAGGAATACGTAGGACCGACAAGAAGACTCTAGGAGATCTCGATTTCGCACGTGGATGATTTATGTTTAATGTCCGACAATCGCGGAGACTCGGAGGCGAAAACCAACAAACTGGCAGAAGAGGCTGGCAGCGAAACCAGGACTCCAGGTGAAAATGGAGGTCGAGACGGAGGTGACGAGCCAACCAACAACAGCAGCAACAGTAACTACCAGCATCAATCACCATCAGTGGGAGAGATTTGAAAGAGGTCACTTCTTTCACTTATCTGGCCATGAAGCATGGTTACAACCACAGGCGGATGGCACGAATGAAGATATCAAGACCAGCCAGTGGGGGTCGAAAAGGCAAGATACGCTTTCATCAACGTGAGACCAGTTTGGACATTGTCTGCACCCTGTCAGCACACATAACAAGATTCGGATTTTCAACACAAGTGCGAAGTCAGTCGTTTCTTTTGTACGAGTCAGAAACTTGCACCGCGTGTTATGGAATGGATTTCTAACAGTTTGCAGACTTTTATCAACAGCTGCCTTCTCCAGCTCTATACTGAAGATCAAATGGCCGGCTGGCCGGAAAGAATTGTAGATAAGATACTCTCTCTGGGAACAAACCAGTTGAGAGCTGGTTATTCAACAAGTATGCCGAAGAAAATGGAGGTGGATCAGGCACACACTGAGGAGGCCATCGAACGACACTGCATACCAGGCCAGCCCTCAAGCTGGTCTTTCGACTGTGAAATTGAGCAGATGGTGCGAGCAGTCGGGAGATTACGGTCACGAGTGGACCCAGCTGAACAGGACGGAAGAAAATAGAACAAAGTGGAGCTGGGTTGTTGGGGAGCTATGTTTCACTCGAAACCTACATGAATAATAATAATGATAGCGGGTTTGATCTCTTCAGCTTACTCAAACCAGTTAAAATAAACATTTGTAGTATAAGTGTAAATAGAAATTCCCCAGATAGATGAGAACCTAATTTCTTCAGACTGCGTCAAATTAAAGTTGCAGCTCACTTCTGTGTGTGACTTAAGGGGCAAGTTACACGTTGAAATGAAGCCCGACCTTGGATCACTTTTCGCGTGCAGTATGTTCGAAATTGGTGACATTTTTGCACGTGTTTTCTCTGATATTTTATTTACTGATAACCGATATAATCCTTAAAATTATGGTCCAAATATCTGAAAAGCGTATCCGTAGGAACACAAATGTTGTGGACAGTGGCTCAAGCTCGGTTATAACTGTATTACCTGCAGAAAATCTCATTGACTGCTTGGCAGCCGAAGTGGGGAATCGTATAGCCTCTTCCCATCATTCTTTATTTACAATACACAAGATTCAATGCCTCTAATGACTATAAGAAATCCTGAATTGTTGCGGCATGTCTAGTATGCCATGTGAATGCAAAAGACTTCGTAAGTCAACCTAGCTTTGCTGGCCCATCGGTTTTAAGTTTGGTAATTCCCTTGATGCTAGTAAGCTTACTATACTTCAGAATCATTTAAGACAGGATAGCAGTTACAAGTCTGTAACCAAAGCTCAGGATAAAACACCTTGTCAACAGAGAATGATGCGAAGTAATAATATGGTCACTTCCTCTGGCTTAAACTTAGAGGAAGTGGATCGTGTACCACAGCAGTAACCTAGCACTGACAGTGGCATTCAGCAAAATACATGACAACCACGTCCAACAATGGAAAGAAGTTGACTTAGATACCAGTATCCCTGTAAACACAGCTTCGCTGAAAGGCTTTAAAAAAGCTATTACTGTTGCAGTTTCTACTTACAAATTATCACCTAAAGGTACTAACCTAACCACGGCGAACAAACTTCGCAGGATTGAGTCTAATGAAGGGGAAGAATACTTTGTATCCGATAAGTCTACCGATGGTAGGCGTGTCAAAAAACCCACTTTTGATGGGAAGACATCCTTCCAAAACACAAGCATATCTGTTGACATTCAGCATACTCCATCTTATAGAAACTTAGATTCTAAAACCCCCAAAGTCCAGCAACCGAGGCACTTTCCC